AAGAGAAATAAAAAAAATTGTGATTTTCAGGAGCCCACAGTAGAGAGCTTTTGGGCCTGTTTTTAAAAAAGACTTATTATAAAACATGTAAAAAAGTTATTATAAAATGTTTAAAGTGTTAGAATTTTTAAACACTGGAAGACTTCTAAAGTTATAGTATGCTTTAAATTTAGATATTAAGAATATTTGGCGACAAAAATATGGAGGTTTATAGACTAGTAGTGATGTCTTTGAATGTCATGTTGACAAGGGGTCAGTTGTGTTGGCTAAATTTTGTTAACCTGGCACAAGCTAAGATACACATCTGAGAAGGAATTTAAGTGGATAAAATAGCTCTATTAGATTAAGGTGTAGGCAAGTCTGTGGGGACATTTTCTTGATGAATGATTGATGTGGAATGGCCCAGCCCACTTGGGGTGGTTTGCGCCTAGAGTGCTGGGCCCACACTGTGAAAACGAGGTAACTGAGTAAGCTATGAGGAGCACAGCAATAAACAGGATTTCTCCATCACCTCTGCTTGAGTTCTCGCCTCCAGATTCCTGCCAGGCTTGACTTCACGCCCTGGCTCCCTGTATGATTGGACTGTGACATGGAAGTATAAGTCAAAAAGAAGCCCCACCTCAAAGTTGATTCTTTTTTTTGTCATGGTATTTATCATCGAAAAAAGAAAACAAACTAAAAACATAGCCCTTACACTCAAAGCCTCAAAAGAACATCATTAAGCTGGGAGGTGATGGTGAATGCCTTTAATCCCAGCAATGGGGAGGCTGAGGTAGATGGATCTCTGTGACTTTGAGTCCAGCCTGGTCTATAGAGTGGGTTCCAGGCCAGCCAGGGCTACACAAAGAGAAACACTGTCAAAAAAAAAAATAAGAAAGAAAGAAAGAAAGAAAAGAAAAAAGAAAAAAGAAAAAAAGGGAAAATAATTTAAAAAATCTGCAAATGAACCATATAGATCCTTATAACCCTGCAAAAGACTCAACTCCAGGCCAGGCAGTAGTGTCTCATGCCTTTAATCCTAGCACTGAGGAGACAGAGGTAGGTGGATGTCTGTGAGTTGGAGGCCAGCCTGGTCCACAGGGAAAGTTCCAGGACAGACTCCAAAGCTACACAAAAAGAAACAATAAGAAAAACAAAAAACCCAATTCCAAAGAAGAGAAAGTTGGGGAATAGCCTTGAACTCACTGGCACAGGAAAAGACTTGAACAGAACACTGTTAGCATAGACACTAACACTAATAACTAATAAATGATACCTCATGAATCCGAGAAGCTTATGCACAACAAAAATCTTCATTTTGGGACAAAGCGACACCCTACAGACAGGTAAAAGACTTTGACACAGTGGAAATTTATTACAGTGTTAAAAGCAAAGGAATTATGAAAGTTACTGACAATTTGGTGGGTTTGGGAAAAACCATGAGTGAGTGAACCTGACACAGAAGACGAATGGCTTATGTTGTCTTAGAGGGAGGAAGAGTGAATATTAGAACACATCATATATAAAATGTAGGCCAAAAGGGTAACACTGGGGAGAAAGTTATAAGGACACAGGGCAGTTGTTATAAGGATATATGTTGGACAGAACCAAAACACTATTATGGAAAAAGCATATAGAAGTGATGGAACGGTGCTATTAAAGGCACTGGCTGTTCTTCCAGAGGTCCTGAGTTCAACTTCCAGTAACCACATGGAGGCTAACAGCCATGTATAGTGGGATCTGATGCTTCCTTCTGGCATAAAGTTATACATGCAGACAGAGCACTCATATATATAAAATAAATGAATACATCTTAAAATAAAAAAGCATGTAGGAAGCCGGGCGGTGGTGGCACACGCCTTTAATCCCAGCACTTGGGAGGCAGAGGCAGGCGGATCTCTGTGAGTTCGAGACCAGCCTGGTCTACAAGAGCTAGTTCCAGGACAGGCCCCAAAACCACAGAGAAACCCTGTCTCGAAAAACCAAAAAAAAAAAAAAAAAAAAAGCATGTAGAAACCTTAGTAAAGACATAAAATGTTTCAATGGAGACATTCTTTATTGATGAGTAACGTTGCTCCAAGAATCATTGTTTAAACTGGGAACTCAGTGCCAAATTTCAGACACTTCTAGTGCTTGTTGGCCAGGGAGGAACCAGCATCTCCTGCAAAATATAGGTTATCCATGATTGCCCACCAGAACTTGATAGCAAGATCCTATGGCCAAAGAGAACATGTACTTTTATCACAGTACATTGAGAAATCAAGCTGGAGCTGAGTTGGGAGTTTTCTCTCTATCCCCCAGCCTTCAAAGTCTATGAATTTGCTATGCAATCTGCTAGGAAGCAGTCATCCATTATTACCAACTGTGAATCCAGTGAGCTATCTTAACAACCTGCTGAGAAAACATATACATTCTCAAATTATGGAAAGTTACAAGGATGACCCATTCCTTTCTCACTGGCTTTGTGACCCCTCCACAGAGAAAACTCATGCCAGGTTTTAAAAAAATAATCATTTTTATTCTCTATGTCTGTCTGTGTATGTGTGCATACACAATAGTGTGTGTGCCTGTGGACAGTCAAAAGAGGCATATGGTCAGATCCTTTGGAACTAGAATGACATGTATGTGAAAGTCACCTGACTTCCATGGCGGGAAACAAAGTGAAGCCATCTGGAAGTATAGCCAATGCTCTTCATCAAGCATTAATTTCCCCAGGCAGCAATTCATTTCCTTATACGTTTGCTATTGTTGGAGAGTTTATTGTTTGCCTCAGGTTTCCAAGAAACAGAAATGGCAGGGAAGCAAAATCATGCCAACATTATCAAGTAAATATTTTGTAAGTTCAATTATGTACATATTTTATGTGTTTCTGTGTATATGTGTGCGCCGTGTGCTTGTAAGGACCTGCAGACTTCAGAGGCATTGAATGTACTACCACGAGTGTGTCTGCAACTGAACCCGAGTCCTCTGCCAAAAAAAAAAAACAAAAACAAAAACCAAAAAAAAAAAAACAAAAAATGGTAAACACTCCTGTTGAGTCAACATTCCCACCTATTTTTAAAAAGTAGTTAAATAACAACCACAACTCCCCTTCCCTTTTCTCCCTCCAACCCTTCATACATTCTCACAATAATTTGTGGAATTGATGACGTTTGTCTTTATTGTTACACACACACATATTCATAAACATATGATCATAACCTCCTGATACTGTTCTTGTTTAGGTATCTCTGGTTTTAGGTTTGGCCACCCTGTACCCAATACAGGGCTCACACCTGGGAGATAGTTCTGTCTCATTATTTGTTTATAGTTCTTTTTTAAGGGTGGAATCCTCCTACTTCCCTGTCTGTTGTCATTGTTCTTGTTGGGCACACAATGTTGAGGTATTATAGGTGTAACTTCTCTGACATTTCTAAGAGACCAACTCACTCAAGAAATCCTTCTAATCTGGTTCTTAAAATCTTGCCACCCCTTTTAAGATGTTCTCTGAGCCTCAGGGGCAGGAGCTGCACTGTAGTTGTATCAAGTAGGTCTGAGGTCTCAGCTATCAGCTGATCTCTGCATTATAAAATTAGGCTTAAAGAACTGTTTGCTCTAAAGAGTTTTTAAAAAGTACTATACTTGTTTTAAAACTCAGGAATTATGCTAGCCTAGCAAATTGGCAGACATAGGTTCTTTTTCTTGTTCAGAATTATTATGTATACAGTGTTCTGCCTGCATCTATGCCTGCTGGCCAGAAGAGGGTAGCAGATTTTATTACAGATGGTTGTGAGCTACCATGTAGTTGCTGGGAATTGAACTCAGGACCTCTTATCAGTGCTCTTAACCTTTGAGCCATCTCTCCAGCCCCAGATATAGATTTCCTAAAATCCATGACCTTGCTAGCCCAGATCAGGTTTCCAGTACCAGGAATGATTTTTGTCCTGTTGAGAAGGTCTTCAATTATACAGTAGCTGGTTACCACCACACAATCCTAACTCTTTGGTATCTTGTCAGGCTGATCACTGTTGGGGTTCATATGGTTCTTACTTTCCTATTGCTGTGACGAGACATCATATCCAAAACTTATGAAAGAAAAGATTTTCTGGGTGGGGTGCTGCACACCTTTAATCCCAGCACTTGGGAGGCAGAGGCAGACAGATCCCAGTGAGTTCAAGGTCAACCTGGTCTACAAAGTGAGTTCCAGGAGAACAAGGGCTGTTATATAGAAAAACTCTGTCTTGAAAAACTACACACACGCGTGGAAGAAAGAAAACATTTCTTGGCACTCATGCTTGCAGAGGTTAGAGCCCATGATTATCATGGCAGGCAGTCTGGCACCAGGCAGACAAGCACAGTTCTGAGCAGTAGCTAAGCCCTTACCTTACATCATGACCTGAAAGTTGGAGGCAGAGAGAAAGAGCTAACGTGGAAGAACATAAGCACTGAAACCTCAAGGCCACCCCAGCCCCATCTTCTAATCCTCCCAACAATTCCAAGTGGAAATCAGTCATTCAAATATAGGATCATATGGGGACCATTCTCATTCAAACCACAATAGAAGTCACAGCTGGGGAGGGCTATGGACTGCTTCTCTTACTTGGCAACTTGCACTATATCTATTACCATGCCAGTTAGATTAAATGAAGGTGGGGCTGGAGAGATGGCTCAGTGGTTAAGAGCACTGAGTGCTCTTCTGAAGGTCCTGAGTTCAATTCCCAGCAACCCACGTGGTGGCTCACAACCATCTGTAATGAGACCTGGCGCCCTCTTCTGGCCTTCAGGCATACATGGAGGCTGAACATTGTGTACATAATAAATAAATAAATCTTTAAAAATAAAAAAAAGATTAAATGAAGGTGGTTTTGTCGTTAGATCCAGCTCAAATCCTTCGAAGTCCTGCATCCAAATTGTGCAACAAAACCGACTTACCTTCAAGCTTGCAGAGATGACCAAAGGAAAGAGAAAGCCCCTAAATTACTTTGGGAATCACACAGACTATCCTAAACAAATCAAATGGAGATTTCTCATACTGGTGTTTTTATTAGTGCAGGATTCTTGGGAGGAGGCACTACAAAGTCAAATGATACAACGTCATTTAATATACACATGTACGTATATCCATGTGTGGATACATAATCTCAGTTGCACTATTATGTATTGTATTTAACTTTAGGTATGTGCAAAATAACAACTCTTAAGCATTATCAAACATTGGTATTTGTTCCTCTTTCCTGTATTCACCTTTCCCATCCTGTGCCAAACTAGAAACTTCTGCCTCCAGTCTTCCCATTTTTCTCCTCACAGCCCTCACATCCAGCTAGTGCCCTCCCCAGCCTCCTCTCTAATCACCAATGGAACACCATTCAGCTATAAAGAAATCTTAAATCAGAAAAGTTTGACACATAGAATCAACTAGAAAACAAGTACATTAACCCATATTCAGAAAGATCAATCTCTCTCCTCTTTCATTTGTGGTTTCTGGCTCTAAATTCTCAGACGTGAAAAGATAACCTGGACTAAAAGAAACCACATCTTGCCTTCCTAATAAAAACGTAATGAAAGCAAAACTCCTGTGAAAGAATGGGCCAATAACAAAAATGCTCAGAATTTGACTATACTTTCCTCAAACTGTTCATTTCTAAAATATTCTGGAGTAACTTCCAGAAAGTATTATATCTTACATGAGATTCAAATACATGAAAAATTTTTTTTAGCATATCCAAAATGACACGTAATTCGTTTTTTTTTTTTTTTTCAGTTTTGCAATGAAAATTCTCTTGACTGGATTTGGATGGATCTTCTTAAGGTCCAAAGAAGGTTGTGTTTTCTATAGCTGTGATGGATCACAACTGCTAAAACAAGTTTTAAAAGCAAGTGTTATATTTGGCTTGCAGTTACAGAGTGTGAGTATCTGTGTTAGCAAAGAATGGCCATGCTATCCCATAATAAGGAGGCAGAGAGAATACACTGGGAGTGTCACTATCTTTTGTATCACCTTAAAACTTCCTGAGAGTGACAGATGTTCTCCAACAGGTCATACCTCTTACCCATTCTCAGTTAGTACCCATTTCAGTTAGAAACCCAGTATTCAAACTTACGAGTCTTTGGGCCCATTCTCACTCAGAACACTAGTATAGTTGTATTCAAAGGTACTGTCCTAGCCATAGAGGGCAAAACAGACATTATTCCACATCTTGTAAGTGGTTTTTATCATATACAGAGTCACATATAATGAGTTAGGTATTACACTTTTTCTGGGTGGTGGTGGCACACGTCTTTAATCCCAGCACTTGGGGGGCAGAAGCAGGCGAATCTCTGAGTTTGAGGCCAGCCTGGTCTACAGAGCTAGTTCCAGGACAGCTAGAGCTGTTTTACACTCTTACACACACACAAAAACCTGTCTCAAAAATCAAAACAGAACCAACAACAAAAAAGAATCACACTTTGTTCTCTCAGTGTTTCTACATTTAAAAATGTATCTATTAGTTTTTGTTTCAACTGCTTTGAACATTTTATTCACTTCATACTCACCTGTATGTCTCTGTGTATGTATTTATTGGGAAGTATACATGTGATTGTCAGAATACAACTTTCAAGACTCGGGTTTTTATTTACACAGTGTAAGACCCAGGGAGGTAACTGAGATAATCAGGTTTTGCATGAGAACTACTCTTAGCTGATGCACCTCATGACCAGTTTTCTTTCAATCCTCACAATGGAGGCGAGCTGATCAAATGCAGCATCGCATACTTACGCTGGTAGAAGTGCTACCCACTGCACTTCTTGTCACCGTGAGATCACACGGGTTTGTGTAGGGATGTGAAACAGAAATGCAGGCATATTCTGGCTATATGAAAGATGTTTCTTTCTTTCTTTCTTTTTTTTTTTGGTTTTTTTTTGAGACAGGGTTTCTCTGTGGCTTTGGAGCCTGTCCTGGAACTAGCTCTGTAGACCAGGCTGGTCTCGAACTCACAGAGATCTGCCTGCTTCTGCCTCCCGAGTGCTGGGATTAAAGATGTGCGCCACTATTGCCCGGCCCGGAAGATGTTTCTGAACATTATAAATTGATTTTCCACATCCATTTCAAAGTTTTCCACCACTATGAAATTCTTTTATGGATATAATCAGAACTATGATTGCTAAAGGCTTTTCCACATGATCACAGATGTATGGCATCTTCTAATCTTTCATGAGCATTACACCAACTGGAAATGGGGAAGGCTTTTCCACAGTGCTTACATAAGGTCTTTCCCACAATGCTTACATCCATTTGCCTACTGTCTAGCGTGATGCCTTTTACGACTGTCATGCCAACTGGAAGTGAAGGTTTTTTTCAACAATGCTTAGATGCACAAGGTTTCTCTCCACTGTGACTCCTTTCATGAATGTTAAGATAACTGGATCGGGCAAAGGTTTTTCCATAATGCTTACATGTGAATTCTTTTATGATTATGACAGGAACTCAAAATGGCAAAGGTTTTGCCACAAGAATACACACACAAGGTTTCTCACCAGTATGAATTCTTTCATGAATGGTATGTACAACTAGTCAAGCTGTTTCCACAATGATTACGTACATAAAGCTTTTCATAGTGAATTCTTTCATGTCTCTTTTGATGAGAAGAACTCCTGAAGGCTTTCCCACAATGCTGACATGCATAAGGCTTCTTTCCAGAGTGAATTCTTTCATGAAGGTCACGATAATCCGAGGTGGAGAAGCTTTTCCCGCAATGCTTACATGCATAAGGCTTATCTCCAGTATGAACGATTTCATGTCTCTTAAGATAAATGGAGCGGGTAAAGGCTTTTCCACAGTGCTTACACGAGTAAGGCTTCTCTCCAGTATGAATCCTTTCATGAATGTTACGATAATAAGAAGTGCTGAAGACTTTCCCACAATGTTTACATGCATAAATCTTCTCTCCCGTGTGAGTTCTTTCATGAATTTTACAGTGCTTGGAACTGTTGAAAGCCTTTCCACAATGTTTACAGGCATAAGAAGTCTTTACATTATGATTTTGTTCGTGGCAGTTATGCAGACTGGGAATGGTGAAAGTTTTTCCACAGTGCTTACATGTACAAGGCTTCTCTCCAGTGTGAACTCTTTCATGAGTGTTATAAGAACTCAAAGTGGCAAAGGTTTTGCCACAATGTTTACATGTATACAATTTCTCTCCAGTGTGGATTCTTTTGTGAGTGTTACAAGAATTGGAACTGGTGAAGGTTTTTTCACAATGCTTATGTGCATAAGGCTTCTCAGCACAGTGACTTCTTTCGTGAATGTTACAATTACTAGAATGGGTGAAAGCTTTTCCACAATGCTTACATTCATAAGGCTTTACTTCTCTGTGAGTTACTTCATGTTTCTCAAAACATGTTTTCTCACATTGCTTACAAATGTAACTTCTCTCTCCAAGATGACTTTTTTCATGGTTGACGAGGTCACTGGAATCAATGAAAGCTTCTACACAATGCTTACACACAAAGGGTTTCACTCCTGTATGGATTCCGTGATTTTTCTGGTCACGTGTACATCTCTTTAAGATGTTCTCACTGAGTTTCTCTCCAGTGTGAATTCTCTCCTGAGGCTGATCAGAAGGAAGACTCCTACAGGCTTCATTACATTGTTGGTTTTTATAAGGTTTGTCTCTAGGAGAGGTTTCAAGTACCTGAAGTGATTCAAAATGACTGATATCTTTCCAATGTTTCGTTGGTTTAAAAGACTTCACCACAGCTTCCTGACATTGAAATTCATTGCTTCTACTTTGGTCTCTTTGATAAACTTGTAAGGATGAATCATCAATGACATTCCTTTCATGTAATCTGCTTTCATATACTGTTTTTGCAGGAGGCACGTCATTATTAACCATATTCTCTGGAGTAGATTCCTGGTTTTCATCACACTCAGTATCACGCTGATATCCACAGTCTTTCTCAACCACTTGAGTTCTGCAAAAATAATGAGAACAGCATTACTGTAGAAAAAAAATATTTGAGGCTGGCTTATGGAGTACACTACAACCATACTATCCTGAGACAATAGCAGAATGTCTCCAATGTTAAGGACAATATGAACCACATGTAAAGACCCTGGCATGTGTAAAGACGGAGAGTGGTGATATTTATTTAAGAATTATGAAGGAGCTGTATCATAGGGTCAGATATAAAGAACAATTCCAGCTCTTCGAGCAGATCCTCCATCGGCAATCATGTGGAGAGCACATAAGTTCCTGTTGATCTGAAGGATCTGATGCCCTTCTCTGGTCTCCACAAATGGTTTTGCACAGGTGGTGAATACAAGCACACATATACATACACATAAAATAAGTGACAAACATAGAAAGAGTGAATATGAAGGCAAAAGTCCTGGTGTTAGCAGACAGTCATAATAATCACATAGTCCTCGAACAGTATGATATTTTGACATTTGAAATACTTAGCCTGTGTTGGCTAGTTTGTTATCAGTTCAACCTGAACCAGAGTTGAGAACATGGCTAGATCAGAGTGGCTTGTAAGCAAAGGCTGTGGGAGCATTTTTTAATTCCTGATTAATGAGGTCATGTTAGGTAATATGTTCCTGGGCAGGAGTACAGGAGCTGTAAGAAAAGTATGTTAGTAATCCATGAGGAACAAGCCAGAAAGCAGCCTTCCTCCCCGGTCTTCAGTTCAGTTCCAGCCTCCAGGTCCCTGTCTGTTTTAAGCCCCTATGCTGCCTTCCCTTGCTGGGCTATAACATGGAAGTGTAAACCAAAATATGCCCCATTACTCAAAAGATGACTTTGGTCATGGTGTTTAACACAGGAACTGAAAGCATCATAAAACAGAAGTTGCTTACCAGGTTCACAGGGGTAATCCTGAGAGAGGTGACCATGTGGTTTTTATGAGGGCTATGAGAAGGTCTAGACTACTGGGCTCTTTCAGAGCTTCTTACATGACACATTGGTGATATTACTCGATTACACAGATGAGAAACTCAAATACTGAATGAGACAGTTCAATATTGTTACAGAAATTGGTGTAGAATCAATTTGCAATTAGATATATTTGGATCATTTGGTAGGTTCGCAGTTAGTTGTCCTACCACTCAAATGTTTGATGTAAATTGTTTTTGTTTGTTTGTTTGTTTTTGTAGATAGGGTTTCTCTGTATAGCCCTGATTACCCTGGAACTCACTCTGTAGACCAGACTAGACTCAAGCTCAGAGATTTGCCTGCCTCTGCCTCCCGAGTGCTGGGATTAAACAGGTGTGCCACCACCACCTGACTGTAAATTGCTTTCTATTGAATAAAAATTACCCCAGATTTCGGCTGAGATCTCTGTGGTCCTCTTCAATATTTTCTTCTAGTGTTTCCTCTAGAAATAAACCCAAAGAGTTCATTATGACAAATTCAATGCTTAGAAACAAGTAGAATCTAGTTCTTATGACATGGATGCATTCATTAAATTCGATAAATATTCCCTGCAGGAATTCAAACCACAACACCACACACATAACCAGGACACAGTTGCTCTCTGACTGCTGACTGAATAAGCAAGGGCAGTGTGCTGGTGTTTATTTTTTATTCATTTATTTATTTTTACCTATGGAGATCAGGTTCAAAAATGTTTCCTTCATCACATCTCTGTAGAGCTTCTTTTGCCTATCATCCAACATCGCCCACTCTTCTACAGTGAAGATCACACCTACATCCACAAAGGCCACCGGTTCCTAAAACAGTGCACATATTAGGATGGTTAGTTTTAACAGCCAGGTTGATGACATACAGAATCGTCTAGGACAGAAATTACTGAAGACAGCTCTATAAGTGATTATGTAGATAAAGGTTAACCCAAAACATCCATAGGATACCGTCTTGAGTTTTTGCTGTAAGAAAGGCAGATGCACAGTCTCAGTTACTATTCTGCTGCTGAGATGAGAGCTCATGATCAAGGCAGCTACTATAAAAGGAAGCAACGGATCAGGGCTTGCTCACACAGTCAATGATTGTCACAGAAGAATCAGGACAGGCATGGAGTGGGAACAGTAGCTGAATGTTTTACTCCTGAGGAAAGGCAGCAGGCAGAGAGACAGACACAATGCCTGGAATGGGCTTTTGAAACTCAAAGACCACTACTAATGACATCCCCTCCCACATATTGCCACATCTCCTAATTCTATCCTAATTCTAACTTCTACTAACTGGGATGAAGCTTTCAAACATATGAGCCTATGAGGGCTATTCACACGTAAAACAACACACCCACCTATTCGAGATGCAGCATTTCGTGAAATATAAAGGGTTTATATTAGTGGAAGGTGGGAGCCGAGACACAGGCAACTATACACCAATCTAGTTCTGATTGTGTGTGATTTGATCAGCTGCTTCAGAATCCTGTATTTTACAGACTATGCCCTTAAATTGTGAGATAAAATAATAAACTCATTCTGCCTCAAGTCACTGTTTTCTGAGTCATTTCTGACAGACAGATGGAAAAGCCTAACATAACAAATACATTTTTTTTTTCGAGACAGGGTTTCTCTGTGGTTTTGGAGCCTGTCCTGGAACTAGCTCTTGTAGACCAGGCTGGTCTCAAACTCCCAGAAATCCGCCTGCCTCTGCCTCCCGAGTGCTGGGATTAAAGGCGTGCGCCACCACGGCCCGGCCTAACAAATACATTTTTTTAAAAAGTGGGACCATTGTTGTAAATAAACCTAAGCAGGGCATTTAGAACTTGTTTTGGAAGGAATGTGGAGGAACTGGCAAAAAAAAAAAATTCTTTAGAGAAGGAAAAATCTAGAACACATTGAATGACTCTAAGAAAAAAAGGTTGATAGAAATGGCATGGACCAGGAAGGTTCAGAGGAGACAGAGAGTCAGGAATTTCAGTAAGGGCTATGCTTGTGCAATTAGGATTAAGAACAGAGCTGTGTTCTGTCCTACATCAGAGAACTTGAAATGAACGTGAATGTAGAAAGTGTTGAATACTTTAGTAGAAGAAACGAGGGTGAACAAACTAAAATTCCAAACAAGCAAAGCAAATGCAACTGATGACACGATTAGCACTAACCACTGAACCAGAGCGAAGCAGGCAAGCACAGAGCAAACACAGGGACCGGGTTTGCACAACGCCCATTGTACAGAGAACTGAACAATGAACCTAGCATTGTGTGGGTATCCTTTGGACAAACATCTTTAATGGGCTGTACCGATATCTGCTTTAAAAATAGAAACAAGCAGTCCCTTTAGTAATGGCATGGTAACTCCTTATTGTACTCAAATACCTTTTGGGAATCATATGGAACATAGGGGAAATAGGCAGACCTGCACTTACTTCAGTCTGAGGTACATGCGCAATAAGGTAACCTGTAGTGTGAAAAGGAATGTTCAAGAATAATCTTTCTTTTTCTGTTGTTACAATATTTTTTCTTCTAAACAACTGGGCTTGCATATGTTTAGAGTCTGATGACTCTGGGAATGTCATGTGCATTAGGCAGGTTTACCAAATGACATCCTGTCAGTCAAAACACTAATCCTCTGTGGATGCTGCATCCTCCAGCAACCAATTCCTCTTTCTTTCAGTCTCCCAGCTAGCTGTTGATACCCGTGAGCACCCTCACTCATGTAGGCTGTTAGCATCTTTCACTATAGATTGATTCCTATAGTGTGCCTTTGCTTTGAATGAACTGGGCCCTGCCCAGATCCCAACAACAGACTAATTTAGTTCCTGGCAAATGGGTACATAGAGGGAAGTAAATCAATTCTCTCATTACTAAAAACTTCCCGCTCACTTTCTATACCTTTTTCATTGTGGTATCTATTGCTCCAATGTCTAACTAGTCAGTTTTGTCAATAAGAATCATCAACCTAGCCGGGCGGTGGTGGCGCACACCTTTAATCGCAGAGACAGGCGGATCTCTGTGAGTTCGAGACCAGCCTGGTCTACAGGACTGGCTCCAGGACAGGCTCCAAAGCCACAGAGAAACCCTGTCTCGAAAAATCAAAAAAGAAAAAGAAAAAAAAAAGAATCATCAACCTAAATAAATCGTCGACCACGTTCTACAATAAAGGATATATCTTTTCTGACATGTTTTCCCTCCAGGAACAGATGAGAAATTGTATAGATTGCTTTTATCTCAACTTGACACAAGCTAGAGTCATCAGAAGGAGATCCAGCTACAAGGCATTTTCTTATTTAGGGACCAGTGGGAGAGGGCAAAGCCCACTGTGGATGGTGCCGTCGCTAAGCGGAGAGTCCTGGGCTCTATAATTTATTTATTTTTATTTCATGTGCATTGGTGTTTTGCCTGCATGGATGTTTGTGTAAGTGTGGGAAAGATCCTAGAACTGGAGTGACAGACAGTTGTGAGCTGCCAGGTAGGTGCTGGGAATTGTACCTGGGTCCTCTGGAAGAGATGTCAGTGCTCTTAACTGCCGAGCCATCTCTCCAGCCTCCGTCCTGGGTTAGAGTGGTATATCATTTGTGTTATAATAAATAAAGCTTGCCTGAAGATCAGAGCATAAAACAGTCACACTGGTCAGGTGTACAGATCAGGCAGTGGTGGCACACACCTTTAATCCCAGTAACCACACTAGTTAGTCATAGAGGCCAGGCAGAGGTGGTGCACGCCTTTAATTCCTACACTGGAGAGGAATAGAAGATGGAAGGAAACAGGTCCCAGTTCAGGCTCATTCTAAGGATTTGTGGAGGCAAAGAAAGAGTGAACAGGAATTGGGCAATGTGGACGACTCTGATGGGCCCTATCAGAGACATGCCATTGCTCAAAACACATGTAACAGAGTTAGCATGAGGAGTTTAGTGAAAACTGAATGAGAAGGCAGGGTAAAACCAGGAGAGTGTGGTCACGTGACCTGGCTCTCAGCCAAGATGGCGACCACCACATGAAAAGTTGTCATGCTACAGTGCACGGCCACACACCCCTGCACAGGCTAGCTGAACTCAGTGGGTTATAAAAACTAAAAAGGAAACCAAAAGGCACATAAAATTAAGAGCTGGGTGTGCTGATGGTGTAAGGGCTAGATACGATTACATCACTTCTATGTAGGAAATTCCCAACAATAAACATATATTTAAAACGGCTGTTATCTTAATAATAAAACAGTAAAACAGATGTAGGGCTAGGATACAGGTAACCAGGTGTAAAGCTTGCTGTGCAAGCCTGAAGACCTCAAACCCCATGGAGGATGAGAACAGTGAATCCTTACTCACCGTGGGTGGGAGTTTAAATTGCTGCAATTAACAAGCCATCAGTGTGAGCTTGTCTCAAAAGGGAAAAATAGAAATACTATTTCATCCAGCGTACATCTCTCCTCGTATAATGAAAACAATCCATACACTACAACAGATACTCGCATTCATGGTCATGGTTGCTCTAGTCCTAATGGGTGGAGAAATATCAGCCTGGATGTCCATCAGCTGATGACCGGATAACAGTCACATCACACACACACACGCAGGAATATGACTCCGTAATGACCAAACTGAAGTGCTGGATGGAACTGGAAATGTAACTACCCTGTGCCGGGTAACCGAAAGGTACAGAGTCAAACAAATGCTGTCTCTTTACCTCATATATGGGTTCTATCTTTAACCTCTTCCTGTATGATTCAGAACTGGACTGAGTGTCTACACAGAGCATGGAGAAGGCAGGCTCCATGGGATCTGTGCGTAGGTGGGACTGGGACGGGAACGGTAGTAGGTATGTGATGTGGTGGACACGGTGTGGCTATGGGAAAGGGAAGAGAGAAGGAGTTTACTGTATCAAGGTTCAGGATTCTCCTCGGCTATGCAGTGCTTTCCAGGCCAGCCTGCTGGTACACAAGGGGCGGACCAAGCCTTTAATCCCAGAATGCATGAGGAAGGCCAGGGAGAAGTCCAAGTCTAAAGCTAGTCTGGTCAACACAGCTAGTTTCAGGGCTGCACTGAGAAACTCTGTTGCCAAAAGCAAAACAAAACAAAAAGAAAGAAAAAATATATTAAATACTAAATAAAAATCAACAATAAAATGAAAATCATAGTGACCACACATACAAGTGTAATAAATGTGTTATAAATGTACAGCACACTCAAGTCAATTTTTAACAAAACAATGTCTCCAGCAGGTAAGCAGCTTGTTTGTCATTCTCTCCGATGAACATTTCGAAGCTTTTCAATTGCTCAGAAATTACATTACCTACAAGACCCAGCTATCTGAAGGCTAAAGGAGGAGCTGAAATGTTAGTACTTCTCCTCAAGGAATGTAATCTTGAAAATGACTCCTTACAGAAAGCACACTCCCAATCTCTTCTGCTCCAAACAGTGTAGAGCAAAACCAGGAGCAGCAATGAAATTCAATTTAATTCCATGAAGCTCTTCACCAGACTCGCTGCCCTTCTTCATATTCGGCAAAGTTTGGAAAACTTCGCAAAATTCCAATTTTAATCTCAAATTTGATCACTGCATGCCACTTCTCCCAGGGCAATGGTAGGATGAAGGTGACTCACACTCTCCCTTCTGCTCCTGAAATCCAGTCCAGAGTCTCACATCCAGCTTTGTTACAGAAAACCTGCTGTGGTCTCCCTTTCCTCTCCCCCCAACAGATCACAGAGACCTTCTCCTCCCACATTCCTTCCTCCAGCTCATCTCTTTTCCCAGTCTCTCACACCAGCAGTCATTCCCTGGGAACACAGCAGCTGAGCAGGCCAGGAGAAAGGTTAAACAAACTGGATT